ACCCTAGCTTCACCATTCATACTTTATCCATAAATAAATTACATTTGTAGAAATACTTTTTTAATGTAGACTGCATTTTCACTAGGAGACTACAGCAAACTAGTTACACAAACAAGTCTTTCAAAAATGAACAGGTCTTGAGTCAATGGTTAATATCTAATGTGACACAAGTGGACAAAGATATTACATACTTAAATTTCCATATTGGAAAAATGCACCAATAGTCATAAATCTGATGAATAGCTGTATATACTAATAACTATTAATCTCAAATATATTTTTGCACCTGTGCTTATCAGTTTTCACAACTTAAAGAATTACTTCCTTATTATATAATTGCACAAGCTGCTTACTTGAGAGAGCACTTGTTTTCACATGAACTACAGTCTGAGAAATCACTTACATGTACAATCCACTCTACAGCTGATTACTTCAAACTTTTCTTCATCAAGCAAAATAATCCTGATCTGTTGCAGCTAGTTTTCATTATCTCCTGACTCTGAAAATGATATGTTGTCAGAGATTTAATTAAGGTTAGTGAAAGACTGGTAATTTCTCTTACTTCTATTTCAAAGAGTAATTCCATCTAAATGTAATTAGGAAGACCTTTAAAATAAATCCTAAATAAACCACCATAAAAGCAAAAAATTTTAAAAAAATCTCTTATACACACCTCACTTGACTAAACTAGTGCAAGTTTACACATAGACAAGACCTTAACAATTTAATAGCACTTTGAAATTAGTTTGGCTAAACAAAATTAAGACACTAGCTTGCCATAGACACCTTAGAAAATACAGCTTGCTAGAAACAAGGTGGACCATCCTGAACAGACAGGTGTATTGGGAGCTGAAGGGCATAAATGAGGACAGCTACAGAGACTTAGTTGGAGAGACGTTTGAGTTCTTTAAATAACCACACCATTGTTTAAGTGCTCAGTGTTGAAAGCCAATGGCAATTTGTACAAGAAATAAATTTTTAAAGAGGCAGTTTATAATGTTATCACCCCCACAATCTCAATTTCTACACAAATAGTTGCATTTCAATATTAATAAGGTATCAAGTTGAATTTTCTGAACTCTGAATCCGTCTCCTCTTAGAGAAAAGCTTCTAGTAACATTAAACTTTTTCATTAAGTCATTCAAGGGAATGCATTGAGAGATGAAGCAGCACGAAGCATAGCATTTCTGTTGTGGGAAGTCAGAATTCAGCATGACTTGTCATTAGCCATAAAGCACAGCATCCACCTTACGGACCTGACAGACTGGGAAGTCCATACTCCTAACTGGTACAAGCGGTCTGGGTTGCAGGTACTCCTTCACAGGCAGGGAAGTACTGCTCAGGCTGCAGATGCTTACTGAACCAAGTACCTCCCCAGACATCGACACAAAATACCAAGTGAGAAAAGAGATGGTATATACCTCAAACCTCTCTCCTCCTACTGTTCTGCACAGCCCTATCACAGTTCTTTCCACGATGAAGGTATACATACAAAATAATCCCTCATTTTTCAGTTAAATCCTTCTAATTTTTAAATTAAACAAGTTCCAAGACCTTCAGTAACGAAATGGAAAGAACTATTCAGACTCATGGTTTTGCCCTTTACATACAGGTATTTCTTGAGCATGTTGCATCAAAACTAAAGATTCACAACATTTGCATGTCTGCACAGTGTTGAGAAGAATTTTAATTTTCTGAGTTTTGGTATCACAGAGAACTTTTGTTTGATACAAGCTACCTTATTACACAGGGAAAATATAATTTACAGCGTTAAAACACAGCAAATTGGGGTGTTCGCAACTGGTGAATGAGACATTTAGTATCACTAATACAAGCTTATTCCCAGAGAAAACAACACCCCTATTAGTGTAGCGTTCAAAATACTTAACACAGATTTAGAAAGAAATATTTTGAATTAATCTTTATAATAAAAAACCCCTTAAGTCTATTTTTTTAAGACCTTGACTACCTGTTAAGAAAATACTATTTTGATGCTCACCAAAATGTAACAATTTCTAATTTAAATTCATCATTCAGGTGTCCTCAGACACTTATCCATCCAATTTTATGTACACAAAGCCATTAGTACCCACAAAGGCTGGGGTATTAAGCATGGCTATATAGATCTTTCTGCACTCAAAGCAAGCAGAATTTGTACAAATTGCAGACTTTAGCACCTGACAATGCTTTACTAATCCTACTGTAGTTTCCATTTTTACTGAAAATGGATTAAAACCTCTTTAAAAACATCCACTTGTACCTGCTGTAAGATTCAGCTGTATTCTCAGCAACACTGTTATTGAAGTTAGAAGTGCTTAAAAAGACTTTATTCTCTAGCCAGCTGCATTAGCAAAATTATATTCCCCATTATTTTAGTTTACATTTAAACATGCTAGGAGTTACTTTGCCTCACTGAGAGTAAAAAGGAAAGTAGCTACTATTCAACTGTGGGTGTTAAAATAGCCTAGTATCGTCTCTCAGATTCTAGAGACAAATTAAGTCTCAACACACCCCTATAAAGTGCAGAAATTAAGTCAATTTCTGTGCTGTGTCGGAACAAAGAATTAGAAGTTTCTGCATGATCTCTTTTTACTATGAAACAATACCTTCAAACGAGTTCAGACATTTAAATCACACTGAAGTTAGTGCCATTTTAGAAACACGTATAAGGCAACTTACATATTTTAGTAGTTGCCCAAATTCAGGAAGAAACTTTTGGACTACGAGCCTACCTTTTTGTCAAAGGGCTATTTCAATTTTTGAGCAAAGTTATTTTAAGATTCTCTATTGCTGGACAAGACAGGTCAGGTTCCACCATCTCAGTAACCCTGTTAACAGTAAGGCTGGTGGGAAAGCAGGAATACCTGGTAACCTGAGCAGGGAGGACAAGATACATCAGCTAGAACTCTAGAATACTCAGTATACAGCAAGTTACAAAAACATTGCAAGGACATCTCTTGGTAGTCTATGTTACATATAGGAAAGTTTATCATTAGAATGACTTACACAAAAAAGCGCCTTATTTCACTGAGATCAATTTTAAAAATACTTACTGCTTTTTAATTTGTAGAACAGCACACCTATGGTTTCTAATGTGACCAGAACATTGACTAACCATCCTTTAGTTTAGAAGACTAAGACATTCTTCAGCCAAACGCTATCCAGGGAAATCATTTTACTTAGTGGTCCCTCATAACTTGACTCTGAGATTGCAGACTTGCATTAAGGATGGTTGTAATCCACTAACTAGAAACATGAATCAGTTAACCTGATCAGGAATGGAAATGGCTTGAAATCATTTAAGCATGCAAGAATAAGTAAAGAGAGGAAGAAGAGAGGGTAATAAAATTAAGCAGGAGTCATCAATATCCAAGATTACGACAAATTAAGTCATTCAAGTGTTTCCTCCTCTCTTTTGTGCTATATTGACAGTGAAATCAAACTCACCCATTTTGCTGCTTTCATCACTTTGCCCCTGCAGGCTAAAAATGCATTCCCAGTAAGAGTTCTTTAAATAATAAGCAAATCCTTTAAATGAAAATTTAGATTTATTTTGAAATTTTTAAATGTCATTTCTATCAATTTAGACACACTGTTTGACATTATCAGATCAGAGAATTTACAGTGACTCATGGATAAAGATTTGTCTTTTACATTCAAATGTTAAGTACTTCAGAATAACTCTGTCTTGTTATTTCCAAACCAGAAACACTAAAGAGCATTTTATTTTGCCTTTCAACCATCTTTGTTAATTAACAGACTTTTGATATCTGCTGTACTTGAAGGGAAACATGCACACCAAAGGAATTTGTTTGAATGAAGTGAGTACCTTAATTATAGTTCCAGATTTAAGACTAGTTCATTGTAGCATCACAAGGCAGCACTAAGTAGAAAGACAAAATTTAATAAAAAAAAAAAATGTTTTCTCAAGTAGACTGCAGAGCCTTACCTACTTGGAAAGCCTCTTTATGGAGATAAAAAGGTCTTGCTATCCAATGTTAATGTAATACAGTCTTAAAGTTTAGCTATTTTGGAAATGGTAGTACTGAACTCCACTGCTATCCTAAGACTATCCTTGTATTAGTGGTTAACAACAAAATTCAATTAATCAGACTTAAAAATCATGTTGATTTTATTGCTTAGTACAGTTTATTTTCCTACTTTCTAGCACTATCTTGAAACCAGATAAACAGAAAACATTTGCAGGGAAGATATTTGATCAATTTGTCCATTGTGGCAAAGAAAGTGCCCCTCCAGTGTGTACAAGACAACTAACTGTTCCAAAGTGAACATCAGACCACCTCTCTCCCAAAAGGGACAGCCTCCCACCACACATCTTAAAAGTTCAGAACCCCTCCAATTTGTAAAAACAATGCAAGCTCCAAAGCCCTGGAAAAAAGCTTATAAATTTTAGAGCACAACTTTTATGATATGCTGACACGGGTAATGTCATAGTAAGGTACTCAAACAGTTAAAATTCCTTTGTATACACCTTAGTAGAAGAGGCTGCTACTGCCTTCAGTCAGCAAGTAGCACGTCATGGAAGATCTGAGACCACAGAAACAGCTTTGTGCTAGACTCAAGCATTTGTACTATTAACATATGGGGGGGGCACAGATTTTGTTTTCTAAGAGGAAAATACTTTTAAAGTCTCACATAATACATTTTCTCCCCCACCTTTATTTTCACTGTGTGATGGAACATCATTAATAGTGTGCCAGGTATGCTCTATTGCCTGATTCCAGAAGTCTGCCGCATTTCAAGAATCACAGGCATGTTCCCTGCTCAGGAACACACAGCAAAAATATTGTGAAAGGTCTGTTAGACTACAGTTTTAGAAGCCATATAAAACATGTATGCAATCTTAATCTTCCCTGTTGGTAAAGTCTGTTAACCTAGTTAATCCACAGGTATGATATGTATCTCAACACCCAATGAAACAAGTGTATTCATAAGCCTTTAAAGTATATAGAAAACTCAGTTCTGTCCTCTGATGCTGTTTTCAAGTTTGTTTTATTCACTCTTTTGGATGACTATAAATAAGTGTTTCCACTATGGAAAAGAAAGTTAGCACAGTACATTTTCATGACTGGGGAATGGATTTTCTGAAGACATCTTCAAAAGGGCAAAAGCTTAGAAAAAACAACCTGAACATTGAATTCAGTTCCTTATAAAGTCCCTTGTAAAAATTAAAAATAAAAAGAAAAAGAAAGAAAGAAAGAAAAAAAGTAAAGAAAAAACTGCAAGGCCCAGGATGATTTATTGCTTTTCTTCAGTTTTTTCCTTGGTCTCTTTCTTCTCAGATTCTTTGCTCTCTTCCTTTACAGAAAGCTCTTCTAGTTTTTCAGCAACTTTATCAGCACTATCATTTTTGTCTGTGCCTGCTAAGAGATTGATTAGGAAAAAAGTTACATACATGCAGTAACGGATTTTCCTGTTACAGGGGAAAGACTAGAGAAGTGGAGGGGGGGGGGAGAGATGGCTAGTATTTAGAATAAGAACAAAAGTAAAGAAAATCTCCACTGAGCACTGGAGTGATTAATGCCATTTCTTTGCCTCTCGTAATTACCCCTGACATCAGAATTCAAGAAATACCACTTGCCTATTTTAATCACTAAATGAGGGCATAACCATAGTGACTGAGAAACATGTAACATTTGGTCAGTTTTGCTGCTACCAGTAACAGATTCCATACAGTGTCCAGTCAAGTAAATGGCTCAAGTCCCTAGCTTCTTGCTTGTCTTACCCAAAAAAAACCCAAAAGTCAAGTTCCCCAGTTTCAAACTGGAGAACAGGAAGTTCTTAAGACTGAAAAATTCCAGTCTAAATATCTTGAAGAGTGATGACTGCAGACCACTAGTAATCTGTACTTTAGAAAGATGGAAGTGTTTCTTTTACATGGCGAGATATCTTGTCATGTAGGCAATTCTACGAGGCAGTGCATTAATCTATTAAATAGAAACCTGTGAAGAAATGCTACAACTTCACACAAGTTAACAACTATAAAAAGTAAGTATTCTACTTGCATAATTATATTTTTGTGGAATTGGGGAAGAGGAACTGGAAGGAGGAAATATCACTGTGGTTGCAGTGTTCACAGTCCATTCATCTGCTATAAACCAGAAATGCTTCTTTAGTAGCCTTTCCAAAAAAGCAATGTTCCAACAGCAATTGTAACAGCCTTCTACAAGAAAGAAGGCAGTTGTCACTCCTGTGAACTATTACTCTTGCAGACAGAAAAAGCACCTGAACTGAAGACTGCAGTTCAGTACAGAGTGAGTCTGCTAAAACACAAAGATACTGCAGGGATCCATAACCACTCAAGCAGCTAGAAAAAGTGGCATGGTACTACACTTAGACTTTTAACCTTACCTTTCTTTGCTCTCTTGTCTACTTCATTCCTGCATTCTTCAAACTTTGCCTTGAATTTCTGTGCATCTGTTTCAGTAAAGATAGAACATTTTTTCATTAGTTTTACCTTCTTGCAACATTGAATACTTCCAGTCTTGAGGAAAGATACCCAAGAAGTTTTGTGTAAACATAACTTGTAGGCACTTCAAAGTAATCTAGTTTAAAAATCACACAAGATGCTATGCAAAATTCTTGAATCAAATCTTTGTGCAGAAGCAGTTTATTTTCTTTAGCAAGTCTATTAAAGCAGCTTATTTTGCAAAATACTTAAAATGTAATGCCAGAAGGAGCTGTTTTGTACTTACTGCACCTCCCAGCTGCCCCTAGCCTACAGGAATAAGAATGTGTTGTCAGAGACAGCTAATACAACTATCTGCGTGCAAAAGACTGAAGAGTAGCTTTGAACTACTATTCTTGTCAGCTACATTATGCCCTAAAAGACATCCACATCTTACTATAACTTAGGGTTCTTAGCATCAAGAATGGAAGTTAAACCTATTTCATTAGTACAGCACTCAGATTCAATACCCAAAGGCCTGGACTCAAGCTATTCCTGACTACAATAGCTAAGGAAGCATAACCTTCATTGTGTTTTGCTCTAAGCCACCACTTGATTTAACAGTCATTCCAAGCAGTTGATCAAATTACAATAATGCTTCTACACAAGTAATACACAAGCAACAAGACACAAAAGCTGATCTAACACCAGAACTATAAAGAAGGTAATTCGGTATGCCAACTTGGTCTGACTGACCACATGAGGTCACTGTTGCCCCACAGGAATTCAGAAGCCACTGTGAAACTAGTCCAGGAAGTATTTGTATTGATTCCTTTTCAACCATCTCAAAAAGGAAAGATACTTGAAAGGCATACTTATGTCTGTTCACCTGTCATCCGCTTAGTCAGTACTGCAAAGGGTAAACAGGCAAAGCAGACTACTCCCTCAAGACAAAACACTCAATAAGCTGAACAACCTCTACTATAAAGAGGGAAAGACTTCTCAAAGATTAGCAAATAGTTACCAAAACCCTTTAATTTCATACTTGATTAAGAAAAAAGCAAGCACTAAGCAGGCAGATCAGAAAGATTTATTTGGCTAAACAATACGATGTTGAAGAAAAGGAAGCGAGGTGTACATACTAAGTGCTTCTCAAATCTAAGCAAATCCGTCTAGTTTTAAAATATACAGCCACTTTATTAGCCATCTAGCATGTAGGAAGAAGAGGTGGCTAACACACTAAACTTGTGTGGCAAATGGTAAAGCAGAAAATGCAACAACATTTTTCCTCTTTAGTTTTGCTTCTTTTTTTCAAAAAACCTCGCACGGCTTTGATTCAACCCTAAGGAGTTGGGAAAGCTACACTCATTCAGCCCTACTAGCTGATCCACATGTAATTACAGATCTACTTTCTGTTGTGGCAGTCAATGTAGTCACTCCAGAAATACCCACCAACTAGTACGATAGCTGGACTTGGCTACCACTTTTCCCCGAGTGTTTCATTTAGTCAAAACAGTGAAGATACTACATACTTCATTAAAAATAAAACCCAGATGTTCTGCTAATGCAGATAGACCAGAAATCTCAGGTCAGTATTTTCTTGCTTCTAGTGCAAAAATGTAATCTTAGCTACAATTGAGCACCTGAGAAAAATTAAAGCAAGCTGCATGTATTAATCTCTACCTCATAGTATTACTGCTTTTAGTTTTATTCTAATTGGCATTGCACTTGCATGAAATGGCTTAAGTTAAAAAAAAGTGCCTAGGGCAGAAAGCTCTCTAAATATTACTGGAGACCTAATTATTACACTGTTTGTCAAAACATACAGTGAAGTGATTAACTGACTTCACTCAGTTAAAGCAGTAATTAGCTAACACTACCATGCAGTGGTAAGATACAACCTATCTACAACAGTGGTTTACAGTGGCATTTAGACATGTAGTGTAACATAACAGTATACAGTGTAAGTTCAGTTCCAATCCACTCACTCTCTGCATTTAAAAATCGGATTGCCAGAAGTTCAGGCTTGGGGCTTTCATCTGCAAAGTCAGCATGCGTGTTCCAGACCCATGCCCTGTCGCTCCCAGCATTAGGCTTCAGCTCCATTAAGGGTGTGACTGAAAAGAAAACATTAAAAGATGTACACACACAATAGTAAATGTTTTCCACACCAGCCTCCATAAATCTTACTGACAACTGACTGTGATGGTTATGTAAAGCCCTTTACACAGAATTTCTTTTGGATAAATAGAAGACAATGGTGCCCATATATATTTTTCCTTATGTCCTCAAATAAAATGATGCAAGACCATTGCTGTATAAAAGAATGCTAGATTCCCCATTGTTAAGAAACTGAGAGTTTGATTCAATTCTTGTTTAAAACAGATGACTGTGATACTAAAAGACATGCAGTCACTAAGCACAATTCTGAAGAACAGTCAAATGGTTTAGCAGGAAAAGGCATCTAGACAAACGGCATTCATTCTACTTTTGCACACTGAAAATACTACACACTACAGAAAACTGGTTTTTAAAAAGCATTATTCCTACAATTAATCATCAAGTCAGGTTTATTTCTCTCCCATCAGTTTAAAGCTCTACTACAAGGTATTATAGAATTCTGCAGTGCGGCAAGATATGTACAGCATATTTTCAATCTATTTGTTATTTCCCAGTAAATGGAGCCCTTTCCCTCCAAGATACTACAATTACTTCACCTGACTGACTGGAGAAGCTAAAATGTTACTTCTCACACTACTCTAAGACTTTTTAAATTACACACATGCAAAGTTTAAGCAGGGCTTTTTTTTTCTCCCCGATCCCTGGGTCCTTTGTTTAGTTCAGGAGAAATCTGAAAAGTGTACTCACTTTCCTGCATTTTTTAAATTAGAGATCAAATTACATTTTGTTTCATTTAATGTTCTGCAAAAATGAAGAGTGTCCTTTTGTCTGCCTGTGAGTCAGCATAAACTCAATAGAGAAATCCATACTGAAAGCAGTCTTTCTAGGCAAAAAATTTTGATACAAACACTAAATTTATCAATTCTGTTACGCATATGTGCAACATTTATTTTCCTAAACAAAAGGTTTATTCTTATCAGTTGGTGACTACACTGCTTTCATATTTGCCATTTCATTTACTACACAGGAACACCTGTGTCCTTTGAATAGTGTGACTTTCTGAAGAGATCTACCCAAACAAAACAAGCATTATTGCTTCTGACTTCAGTAGCTTAATGCAAATCTTCAAACACATTACTTCAAGTTATCTAAATGTAGTTTAACTCCAGAGTACTACATACTCTTCATATAAAACCTTGAGTATTACCAAAGCAAGCAAGCAACAAAGCATTACCAAATCAGTCTACTTCTTGCTAGCTATATTGACTTTCAAGTCTTGTCTTGCTCTTTTATGTTTATTTTTATTCAGTGTATAAAAGGAACAAACCTCTCCTGCTCCATCAGCTCTCAATACACATTCTTTTCAAATGAGTTAGCTGAATATACCACATTCATTTCAGTTTATCTCACAAGCAGAGATAGGCAGCCACAGATTAATTTAGCACCTCAGTATCTGTTTTCTGATGGTGAAGCAATCGCTTCTAACAATTCAGACATTTAGCCTGAAGTACTAAATTATTACATGATTGCTTATTTCTCATTCTTTTATGAAAACAAGCGAGTATAAATTTATTTCTTCTACTAAACACTATTAAGGCCTATGCTTTCTACATTGTTAATCATTACAATTTAGCTGGGACAGACAGACATTATGTGATTGCTCCGGGGGGGTGGGGTGGGTGTTTAAAGTGTCTTTAGAACACTATCAGAGTCCGAAGGAAAAAAAAAAAAACAAACCAACTTTAAGTCTTAGCCTTGCAGACAATCACCAAAACCAACTACAGCTTCTTTCCCTTAACAAAAGTAAGCATTCATGTTTTTGATGCTTGTGGCCTTGTGTGCAGAACAAGAGACAACTATATTTACAGTCTAATATAAATTTGATGCATGTTTAAAGACATACAGCAATTTTTCCAGCTGCTACTAAAAAGTCACTGATCTCTTAAGCTACAATGTACAATTCTACAAGCTTATCTTTTAAAAACAAAAATAAGAACTATAGCAATATGTAACATACTATAATGGTTTGCACAGATTTTTAGGGTTTTATCCCTCCTCATAAGGAGGCGAATTGTTCCCTTCTCCTTGTGTTTCAGGAGTTTTACATCACCAGTTCCTCGTTCTTTCCATTCTGGAAGGTCATTCTCAGATGCAAATCGGAATAGTTTTGCTCGCCTTAAAGAAGAGAGAATTTAAGAAGTTAGCCTGCATGTAGAAACATTTATCAAAAGAGCACACCCAACTAAAGAGTACAGTTGTTTTTTTAAAAGCCACACACAAGAAAGAACAATTCCTTTTGCAAGCTTCCCTGTTCTACTTCAGCATACAAATTTAGAAACTGACATGATAAATTCAAATTTAATAACAAACTATTAGGAATTATGTAATAGCTACACTAAAATTCAACAGGTTCTGGACACACTTTTGGGGGATGATAAACATATTTAGTGTAGGCAACCTTTCAAATTAATTAACCTAATTAACAGGTTTTGCTATAGCTAGAGTTGTTGTATTCATTTTTATGTATACATTTTATATATATATAAAATGAATACAACTGCTATATCTAACTCACAGTATTAATTCAAGAAACTGAGCAGCTTGAGGCTATGTAAAGACTCTTGTTAATTCCAAGCCCAATGTTTGACCAACTGTTAACGAAGTGCCTCACCCTCTAGTGTCACTCACTTCCTTTTAACTGCAAAACCCTAGTTGTTGCTATTCTTAAGTCAGGAATAAAGGAAGCTTAGTGCTGCACTGCAGTGCAACGTACCTGCTTCAAACATCACTGCTTAATCTTCCAAGATGCCAGTGTGCCAAGAGAGAAACAGGAGTAGTTTGGGACATTAGTCAAAACTAACCCAAGAGAAAGTCTGAGCTCGGCTAGTGAGGAGTTTAACACACTGCTATAGGAAAGGAAGCACCTGCTCACTACAGAATATATATAAAATATACTTTTCTATGAAAGAGTAAGGCATAGGGACTTGTAGTAAGCTGGGTCCTTCAAGAGAAAGTGTCAGATGTTGGAGCAAGCTACTCTAACAGATGCTCTGATGCAGATGAACTACTTTGTTCCAAACCAAGTCCTTCCTTCCAAGTCTAGCTGGCATTCAGTAGGTGATTCCCCCAAGTTTAGCTATCAGAACAACCAGCATTCAAAAAAAAAAAAAGTATTTCTTTCCTCCTTCACCCCTTTGTAGGCATAAAAATGAACCTACAGAGCACGGAAACTTACACAATTATTCCCCCTCTCCTTTTTAAGTAAAATATTTCTTCTTTCCATCACACATGCAGAGAGGCCTAATGACCACGCTACTTGTCAGCCAACCATCGCTTCAGTTTTTACCACAATCTGTATAAGAACTCAACTCTCTCTTCAAGATGGGCACTACCCTTCTGTGATAAAAGGATTTTTTAAACCTATGTAAAGCAAACGCATCATGGATCAAATTCAAAGCACTTTTTAAGCCTTTAGCCTACATGTTTCTTCAGGCAGATCATACATCTTAAGCAAGCTGTCCTGATTTGACAATAAGCCAAATCTAAGGATAAAACTACGTTTAAGACAACAGAAAGGTAATGCCCCAATATCGTACAGCATCTATTGCTTTTACTGTTTCAGTATATTAAACATCACCCTTTACAACTGGGGATGCAGAGCAGCAATGCTACGTAAGTTGTTTTACCTGTTTTATAGTATATGCTTGTTTTATACTGTGATCACACAATTTCAAACCTCTAATTATTATCCAAGTTAATGTTTTCTTTTAGGCTAAACAACACTAAAGCCAGATTCATAATATCAGCTCCTTTCTATTGTTCCAGACTTCAGTTTCTTGCACCATTATTATCAATCATCCACCCACTCAACCTCTGCCACCACAGTAAATACCAACCAGCTTAGACTACCACTTCATACACAGAGATTCCTAACAAGTTATCTAGGTTTTTTTTATAAACACATTAAAGTTTTAGCCTAATAAACATGTAGATAATATACTGAAATATTCTTACATCTTAAAGAGTTCTTCCTCATCCTCTTCCAGAGTTTTTATTTCTTGCTCAGGAAGGGAAACTATGGGCTCAAACTGAGGATCATGGTTAGAATCATCTGCATTTTCAGTAGAAGTATCATGCTCCTCATGTGTTTCCTGGAGAGAGAGAGAAAAAAAACCACCCCACACCACAAAACTTGCTATGTACTTAAAATCTGAAGTACTCATTTCTGTGTTTGAAATTAAAACATTTATGACTATTTAGCAGTTAGACTGTAGTAACTGAAATACCCTGTAACAATAAAGAAAATTTATTATAGCTGAAAACAAATGGGTTTAAAGTCAACATACAGTTATACTAAGGAAAAAAAAAAAAGCTGTCCTTGCACTGCTAGATGTTTTAGTCCTACCACTCTTATTAATTGTGCAGAAGCTTGGCCTTGGAGCAATAGCTCTTGATTATAGAAAAATAATTTATTCAACTATTTTTCCTATATAATGTATCTTATGGTACTAAAGCACTACTATTTCTTAGTAGCTAGTGGCCTATCATTAATGGATAAAAAGAAAAAAAACCACAACACCAAAGCAACCACCTACCCCAGCTTAAGGGACACATTACATCCAGAAGTTCATTATTCTAGGTTTATATATGAGAATTGCCCACAACCAAAAGTATTTCTGAAGCACAGCTGCAACACTCACAAAATAATTTCAGGTTTTTTGCTTTAAAGCTCTTTAGCGAACTGTAGAAAATGGCCAAAATAGCATTTCCTACTTATTTAGGAATTTGCCGTATCATTCATTAAACTTAAGAATTGTTTTTAGTATGTGACTAGTAAGCAAGTGATAAACATTTCTAATACTTCATACATATCCACTGCTAAAAAGCATTCAGTAGAGAAGCCTAGAAGGGAGATTCCTCTGCAAGTTTAATGAGGCCACAAACAGCTATCTTGGGTCAAGGGAACTAATTTGGGGGTTTTTGGTTGTTGGTTAAATAAGAGAGAAAGGAAAACAGTCTATACATAAAAGACACAAGTCTTATTTTCACTTTACAGACGAAAGAGTCCACTCCAACAGACTCTATTTAGTATATCCTTTACAGATCAGGTACACACCACATAGGCATAAAGCAACTGAAATGAAGTAATCTCTTCTTACTAAATAATTAAAAAAAAGGGGGAGGCAAGGGGGAGTAAGGTAAGAAATGTTGCAAAATAAACTCTGGTTATGTCAACAACATCACACCAGCTATCATTAGTTTTATGTTCCCAGTGTTCCAGTATGCAAGAAAAAAAGCGAGAAAGACGTTTAGTCACATGTTTTCAAGAAACAGGAAAAGAAATACTGGCCAAACTTTTATATATTGTCTCCTCCAGCAGCAAGTAGCACATCCCGTATCGTAATTCATCATCCGTTCTGCGTCTGACCAATTAATTACAGGAGCCGTCAGAAACGCATAATTCATAGTTGCCACACGTGAGGAAAAGCAGATCCCGTTATCACGGTAAGA